AACCCTTTCATCGCCTGCATTCATAATTTCGAATAAATCTTAAAAATTTGAACGCCTAAGGGTACTTTTCGTGAATCATGCAGGAATTTCACTCAAAAGAAGACCTAAATTTGAAGTCAATTTTTCAAAGCCCTTCTGAATGCCAAGCACAAGACTGTGGCAGGTGCATGACATCTTAATGCAATATGGTGACTCATCTTGAAGTCTCGACCACAATGAGTTTCCCTTACCATGTTACTAGCTCCATCACTGACAAAACCAATACAATTAGACAGGCTCAACTCTCTTTCTCAAGCTGAGATAACAGTGCTTCATAAAGAACTTCTCCGGTTGTTTCGACGACCTAAAATGATGTTTTCACCGTCCCATCGTCTTCGTCATAATATTTTGTACAAACGCACATGTTTTATCACTAGAAATGTCAGTATACTCATCAGCAAGCAAACAGTATTTCTTGTTTCTCATTTTGTTCATTACTTCGTTTTCTAAACAAGGAGCAATCACATTTTGAATGAGCATTGAACATTTAGTTCGGTGCAATCGAAGGTTTTCGAGGCAACTTCTCTTACCATGCTTCTTGATGACATAACCAATGTGATCAATACCATTAACAGAGCAGTGACAACACACCGCAACCGCGAGTTCTATTTCGCATATTTTAAGTTCCTTAGAAGATTTTGATGTTGTCTTTGGAAAATTTATAGTACTGCACGAGGAAAGAATGGCACTTCTAGCCTTATGTTCTTTTGTCTCACTATGTGTCTTTAAGGTAGCCTTTCTGGGATGCAGAGTTTTCTTACATACTTTACAATATGCCTGCTCATTGCTATCAGTACTCTTACTCAGCCAAGGGTACTCTCTTTCCCACTCGGGATGATACTTTCTTGCAGTCTCGTAATCTTTCCACTTCGGCATTTTCAAGTTTTTGTTAGTATATTTAACGTAATAATGCGAGCGAGAGAAGGCCTACACGCTGTCAAGTTGCACATCAAACTAAATTTTACACAGCGCTAGTTGATGGGTTTGGTCACACACAAGCAACGTTGATTTGGCAATGGAATACTGCATGCGCGACCGTGATACAGAGCGTGAAAAGAGATGACAGAGTATGTGACTGATAATGTCAAAAGTATAGCTTAGTTGTACACATAAAAACTAATAAGGCCCATTATAATGTATTGCTACGACAGCGAAGGTCACGTGACGCTGGTAACACGTAATAAGTGTCTAGAAGGTTCATGAAGAGGTGAGTGCATTCTAGACGCCCTCTATTCTTGTATATAAGTGCGGCAAATAAAGCGAGATAATTAATTGGATAGCAGATAGAGATTATTTGTTTCTTTGAAATTAAGCACAAAGCTACACAATGGGCTATCTGTGCTCTGCCCATCACGGGTATCGAAACCCTGACTCTAGCGTTGTAAGTCTGCAGACATACCGCTGTGCTACTGGGGGGCAGCAGATAGAGAGATATAGAGACAGATAATTGAGCTAAGTGAGCGGTAGTGACGGTAATATAAAATGTGTGTTTTGTTGGAGATGGAAAACTGCAGATGGGAAAGTGACGACCTTGCAAACAGTTATACCAAGAAAGTTACGGGAAGTTGTACTGCATCAATCCCATGATAGTTTAACAGGAGTTAAGAAGACATTGAGTCACCTACGACAGATATTTTACTGGATGTGGCAAGATGTGGAAGAATGGTGCAGGACATGCAGTACATGTTGTGCCAAAAGGGGGCCCAAACATAAGGAACGTGCCCCAATGAAGTTATATCAAGTTGGTACACCAATGGAAAGAGTAGCTGTTGACATTGCTGGTCCTTTGCCCCGACCTCGTGCTGGAAACAGGTACATTTGTGTGGTGGTGGATTATTTCAACAAGTGGCCTGAGGCATATGCAATGCCAAATGAGGAAGCTACAACTGTAGCTTCGGCTATTAGTGATTTCTTCTTCAGATTTGGTATGCCATATGAACTGCATTCATATCAAGGCCGTAACTTTGAATCAGCTGTGTTATATGAATGCTGAAAGTAGTTTGGCATACGACAGACCAGGACAACACTACTTCACCCACAATCTGATGGGATGGTAGAAAAGTACAATTGAACACTTGGATAGGAATTGGCAAAGTTTTGTAATAGCCACCAAGATGACTGGGATGTCTTACTTCCTCTACTGTTGATGGCATATAGAACAGCAGAGCATGAAGCAACTAGATACATTCCAGCAAAGCTGATGTTTGGTCGGAACTTCGGTTGCCAGTGGATCTGATAACAGGATGCCCACCTTACGAAGAGTTGCCTGAAAATGTGTTAGAGTTCGTGAAAGTGTTATTGGAAAGGATGGATGATATTCACCATCAAGTGCGTTCAAACTTGAAAACGTCTGCTGATTCCATGAAGCTATGTTATGATAAGAGATCTACGAAGTCAGCTTTGTACCAGGAGACAAGGTGTGGTTGTATAATCCCAGGAAGACGAAAGGGAAGTATCCTAAGTTGTCTTCTCCATGGGAAGGCCCATATAACATAGTGGAGCATCTCTCAGACGTGACTTTCCAAATAAAATATGGTCGGTGAGGTAAGCCAAAGGTGGTGCATGTCAACAGGCTTTGACGTTATCACGGTCCAGGACATTTCAGTTGGAAACAAATGAACAATGGAACAATTGACGCTGCTGAAGATGTGTCACCTGAAAAATCCACTGTCGAAGAAGAAACTACCCGGTTTTGAGAAGGGAAACAGTGAAGCCCTTATTGAAATTACTACCACTAATATGACTATTACCGATAACAGAAACATTTCCTGATGAACCGCACATGAAGCAGAAGCCAACGAGACAGAGACCAGCACAGAAGAAGATACGTCCCATAAAATTAAGAGACTTTGTTGAATGTTAATTTTGTGTTTGTAAATTCTGTACATTTAATTAAGTTATTGTTAATTGTCTATTGGTTTAATGTAAGTGGCTGTTGATCGGGGCGAACAATACTAAGAAATGGGCAGTAGCGGTAATATAAAGTGTGTGTTTTGTTATCGAGATTGCAAACGTATTGACTGTGGAAATTTTGTGTATTACAAAGTTGTATTGAGAAAGAATAAACTAGTTTTAGTTAAGAAAGGACTTGTATCGCTGAAGTTCTTCGGAAAGAATTTTTACGGGAAATTAACAAACGAACAGAGACGTAACATTATTTTCATGTAAGGCTCAGTATAATGTATTTCATGTATTTAGTTTCAGAAATTCGAGGTTAAGACTAAATTAGTACCAAATTTTTGCTTCAGTACCAAATCTTTATTTTCGGAACCAAATAGCTTTGTTCAGTACCAAATATGCCCAATTTTGGTCTTGAAAAGTACCAAATGGCAACCCTGCTGCTGCTTTTCGCTCGTCTCACACTATTTATATCTTTATTACATAGTCGTCTGGTCACGTTCTATATTCTCGACATCAATCAGTTATTAACAAATCCTTCTACAATCGTCTGCTTTTAACTTTTATTATAACAAGACTTAAAAATAATAAAATATTCACTCACAAGTATAAATTAATCATCAATATTTAAACCAAACAGTATTTTATATCATGACAGACTAGTTAAGTAAAATGTTAAAAAAAAAATTGCAGATTACGTGATTTTTATTTTTAATGGTTTTTGTTTTAAGCGATTAGAAGCTTAGATCACTTTTGTATTTACTTTAAAAAAGCTCTAACTTTCCACTTTTTAAACTAGGAAATCGCATTGAAAAATATAATATAGATTACTAATAAATATAGCCCCCAAGTGGCACAGTAGTACCTCTGGGGATTTACAACGCTAGAAACCGGGTTTCGATACTCGTGGTGGGCAGAACACAGATAGCCCATTGTGTATCTTTGTCCTTAAACTACAAACAAACAAAAATATTTATCTTCTACTGTGAAGAAACTAGTGTTTTGTATTGAAAATCACTTGACTTGATGTAAATCTTGCATCTTTTTAATAGATATTTTGTGTCAGGTTCTGTACGCTTGTTTGTTAATTAACATCCATGCTATAGTTTTAGGTCTACGTAAATTTCAAGTATACCAGCAGCAAGCTATATCTGCTGCTTTATAAGAGCTGTTCAGTTTTGTGAAACCCCCTGTGTGATGAAAACGAAATAGTGACACTATAAACGACGACTAACATTTACACTACTTATTCAATAAACACAAAAAATAAAAAAAAAAGTGGAAATTGAAAAAACTCCCTGTATTCTCATAAAATTTTAATATCCCCTAAATTTAATGTTGAAATTTCAATTAAATTCGGGTTTTCCCTTAAAAGTGGAATCACCGATAGACTAGCAGAGTAAGTCAATGCTGTGTGATGATGGTTAATCGCCATTGTCTTGCATCTCGCTCACTTCTAATAAACTTCTCCTCATTACGGAATAGGTTTGATGTTATATCTTTTTTCACTCCTTGGGCGGATTCTTTTAAATTATTTGGTCAAATGAATTGGAAGACCAGTCCAAGTAATCATAAAAAATGTAGTTTATTTTTTTCTAAATTTTTCTACAAGTTTGCACATATGCGGTGTATACTTCAAACAGATAATTTTCTTCAAGAATCAAAATCATTACCGCTTATTTGAGCCAATGTTTCGACGAATTGTCCTGAAATACGTAAAACAGTGCTATAATATACTATACTAAAATACAGTTCAAGTAGTGTAAAAACTCTTCGAAATTATTGTTTTGTGCATTAAATAAGGAATAATGTAGGGGGAAACGTGCCGCTAGTCTCCCATATTAGAAGAGTCCGTCATTTGGAACAGAAATTAATATTTTCAACTATTTATGTATGAATAACTCTCATTATATAATAAGGTTGTAACTGATTCATATGCTAAATGTTTAATATAAATATATGTTAATTTATACATGTGTCACTGAAATGTGAATAATAAATAACTATGAGATAATCATTAATGGTTGTTGTTATTTTTTTCTCTACTCACGTCCTCTTCTCAGCCAAACTAATGGATCGGTCGAGCCATACAAGAGTTCTGCAGTGTCCCTCTTTCCTCGCACCACAGACGATGGAGTTCTTCAAGACACGAAGATCTGTACTCCCTATGCCAGTACAGGCGACTTTGCATCGTCAAAAACCCTTTTACATTTGGTACGGACTGTTAGTGCACAAAGTGCTTCCCAATTAGAGAACTATCTGAGAAGAGCGAACAAAAACCCGCTTGAGGAAGGGCAAGATGATAGTTCTGATCCCTTGGACCTTAGCACAGGTCAACTAAAACGACCCCGTGTAGGCAGTCCAAAAGATTCTTTACAACGGCCTTTATCACAAGTAGAATCAGTTCTACAACCAATTATCAATACTCGTACTAGTAATTTTGTGGAAAAAACCAATGATCTGCTCAGGGCTTCTCCAAACTCATCGATCAGAAGAGTACCTAGTTGGGTGACCCTAATGAATAGACAAGGCTCTAGCCCTGATCGTGTTTCTCCAGCAAATGGGAATCTTGTTAGAAACTCCGTGAATGGGCGATGTCTATCCTTATGTATAGATCACTCTTGTTCCAACAGGTCAGAAGCTAGTGATATTAGCAGATGGACGGTGGATGACGTAGTAGCCTTTGTCTTATCATTAGAATCATGCACAGAGTACAGTGAGGTAAATATTGTCTCATAAGAGCTAGAAAAACATTTGTTTCTACTTTTAATTTGTTGTTTTGCATGAATATTATGTTTTACTGAAAAATCCTGCTAATCCCTTATTTCATATAAAATTAACTCATACTTTATGAATCGAATGAAACTTAAAAAAAGATGTGAGAATTCGGTAGTAGTTCTAAACTCTGAAAAAATAACAACTTTCCTTTGTCATTAAAAACAAAAGCCTCTGAACACCACGGTTTCCACTTGTACCTATTGTACAAATCCAGAATCCGGAAAAACGAATTTAAAAATTGTTGAATAGGCATTTTCTATTCTTTAATCTTTAATCTATTTACAGGGGAGTGAAGTATTTCCCAGAGTTGAAGTGGAACCTTTTAATCCAAAATAAGCAAATTTCTCAACACTTGTTAGCAGTACTGAATAAATACTAACTGTGATTGTGAAACATACAGTAGTATAACATACGGTTTAGTGTTTGTAATACAGGGTTGAATACGTTAGGTTAAAGTGATTTTGAATATGCAAACATGAAAACCTTAACCGATATAAAGTCATTATGGAACAGAATGTATGAAAACTACATATTCACATTGTTTGAGTCTTCATAGGTAGAGTAATACCACCAAATAATTATTATTTTTAGGAAAGATGTGTAAATGTCCTTTATGACGGAAAACATTCATACATTCATGTCATAATGATTTATTCAGAACGAGGATGTAGAATTTTCAAGACATTGATATCTTTTTTACTTAATAGCATTGGAAAAGAAAGGTATATGAATCAATTTGAGGAACCAGGTCCATCCAGAAAGAGACCTGCAACAAATCGTACCTCAACCTTCGTAAGCAAAGTGCAGGGTCTTCTAACAAGTAAGAATCTACGATTACATTTGTTCCATACAACACTACGCAACACAATAATGAAGGATCTTGGTCTGGAAACGAGGACAACAATGTATAGATTCATCAAGATAAAGCTTCCAGTCATACCTCCCGTACAGCCGTCGCTAATATCGCAAGCAGCGAGAGAATGAAAGGGGTATTCATACTATTACAAACGATTTCTGTGTGTTCGGGTTGTTCAAATGGGCGAATGGAAACCGTGGTTCTCGTACACTAGTTTAATGATGACTGGACTTGGCTACATGTACCCTATACGACTTAGTTAGGTTCCAAAAATCATTTTAATATAACGTACTCGACCTTCTATATAAGGGAAAATTAACAATGTCAATATAATAGAGAACTAGCCACACAAGAATAAGAAAAACTTTTTTTTTCGTTTGACGTGTGTCAAAAGATCGTTAGAGTTATCTTAAAACGTGTGAGAAATAGACAATTAAAGATAAATTCAGCCCGTGCCAGCATTTCGTTTGATCATCAAGCATCCGAATCAGTCGTCAGTCTTCTTTTCTCGTTTTTTTATTGATTTCAGTCGTTCAAAATTTTAATTTAATCAGCATAATATTTTAAGAACTAAAAATGGTAGAAACAGCTAGCCAGAAAACACTGATAGATTCAGGTAAGAGATTCACACTTGTGTAAATACCAAACAAATCATAACCGTTTACTTGGACAGTTTGTTGGTCAAGTAGTTCGGGGTATATACGTGTCTGGTAAAATCCACAGGTAATTTATTGAAAAACATACAATCTTTCAAGAATGACAGGGCACTGCCGCAGGTGAAAGTTTACCAACGGTGGGAGGGAAGAAATCGTGATGTTTAGTGTCAACTTTAGGGTTTATTTAAGTGGGCTTGTTCAGTGACCATTTTGAGTTCGTGACTGGTCATGTATAGTGTCTCTTTAACTCTGTGTTATGCATGTATGCCTAGATTTGAACTGGTTCTTAGACCTTGCGGTTAATGTGCAAATACTAGCTTAGTACATTTACTAAGTAAATAGTTTGCGATTCCTGCCTAATCACTATGGGTCACAACGTCTAAAGATAGAGGAGGTTCTTTTGAACGACTAGCGAACATCAAGGGAATGCTATTGTGGCTGTTTTATATCTAGACAATATCATTATCGTAGAATACTATCAATGGCTAATGTTTTATCTAGCCAACATCATCATCGTGGGAATGCTATTAATGGCTGTTTCATCTAAGAGCATCAAAATCGTGGAAATACTTTCAGTATTTGTTATTTTATCTAGCTCACATCATAATCACTGGAACGCCGGCAACATCATCATCATTGTGGGAATGCTGTCAGTGGCTATTTTTGTCATTGTTTTTTTTGTTTTTGTTTTATTAGACAACATCATTACTGTGGGAATGATGTTAATGGCTGTTCTTTTTAACATGATCGTGTGAACGATGTCAGTGTCTGTTGTTTTTAACCAGACAACACAATCATCATGGAAATGTTGTCACTACCTGTCGTTTTTCCTAGCCAGTATCATTGTAATACTATTAGTAGCCGTTGTTTTATCTGTCAGCATCATCATTGTCGAAATCCTGTCAGAAATGTGGAATATTGTCAGTGGCTGTTCTTTTACCTAGCCATCATCGCCATCGAGGGAATGCTTTAAGTAGCTTTTATTTCATCCAGCAAACATCATCATTGTGTGAATGCTGTCAATGGCTGTTGTTTTTTCTAGTCAAGTTTAAAATAGTGGAGACGCTGTCGTTGGCTGTCGTTTTACCTAGCTGATAACATAATCGTGAGAATTATGTCAGTGGCTGTTGTTTTATCTAGATAACAGCATCATCATTGTAGAAATTCTGTCAGTAGCGGTTGTTTTACCAGCTCAACATCATCATCCTTGTTGGATTGTTGTCAGAAATTGTTATTTTTGCGTCCAATCGTAAGCTATATTATATAGTTATAGTTTTGAGCGCTGGAAGTTGATAATGCATTGTATAAGTCACAAACCAAATATTTGTGATAACATTCACGTTATACAGCTTTTTGTTTCACACCACCCTTGATTAGTCCATTACGGAGTTGAATCCAGAGTCTGAGTGAATGAAAGTACCATTTTATCAGAAATATTAGGCATAAAGCTGGAGAGCTATTGATAAATATTTTGTTTTTATCTAATTAGCATTATCAAAGTTAAAGTATTGTCAGCTTTTTATCCTTCTCTATTTTTCGTAATCATAATTAGAAAATTCTCAATAACTACTTTTACTTAACCCCTGTGACACAGCGGTATGTCTGCGGACTTACAACGCTAGAAACCGGGTTTCGATACCCGTGGTGGGCAGAGCACAGATAGCCCTTGTGTAGCTTTGTGCATAATTAAAAACAAACAAACAATACTTTTACTTAAATAGATTTTATCATATATAAAGCATTGTCAACAATTGTTTTTCTTATAACGTATATTACCATTATTGGATAGTTTTAATATTGTCATTTTTCCATTATTATTATCATAGTGAGTCGTCAGTAACTGTTTGTCTTATCATCATTATAGTGAATTGTCAGTAGATGTTTTTCCTTTAGTTATTATATCATCATAAAAGTTGTCAGGAACCTTTTTGTTTCGAGTAATTGATTAATTGTGGGTGCTTTATGGCACAAAACACCAAATTATCTGCGCCAGTTTGTTTTATTTCAAGTAAAAAGTCAATGAACGAAAGTAACAGAAAGATAAGGGAAAATATGAGTGAAAATGTAAAATATAATACATATCGAAAACGTCCTTGTTTTATAGAATTATAGAATTTAAAAGACCTAAAACCCATAAGAAGCTAAAAACATGATCAATCTGGACAGTGCCACGATTGACACATTCTAATGTCAAGGTCAACCATGAGGGAAAATATATTGAAAATGATGTTGTCGCTGATAGTCTTAGCAACGTCTGGAAAGTAAAATTTGGACACTAGTAACTTGAATGCCACAAAGGCCAAATATTGGCGAATCAGCCTTTCTTAAAAGAAATTATGTGTAATGAAACTGTGACTAAGTTGAGCCTCGTCGGAGCAAATTCCCCTCAAACTAGTTTCTATGCAAACTAGACGGCCAAATAACAACAGTATGCTTTATCTGGAAAATCTTGTTAGAGCTTGTTTTGATGCTGTTCAGCCTAAATCGACTGCCAACTGACGTGAAGCCTTGCCTTGATGATAGGTCTGAAGTCCACATAAGGGACAGATAGGGCTGTGACAGCACCAGAACAGACTGGTTTTGCTGCAGTGCAGTAGGCTTATTCCCTCAAATACAAACATGGCTAATAATCCAGGAAAACTGAGCAGAGAAAAAAAATAATTACTCTTTTCTGAATGTCCAAGATAACTAACACTAAGCAATTTCATGGCCCTCAAAGAGCTAATCAACTCAATATAAATTGAACAATTCGTGTTCTGTTTGGTTTCTACATGATCCAGGGCAAGTGAACTGACATATAACTCAGCAGTGAAAACAAAATCTATCGAGAGGATCCTGTGAGCAACCACAGAGCCACAGCAGACCATTACAGAATCACCTGATTTCGAACCATCTGTAAAAGAATGTTTTGAAAGATGTTCATAAAAGAGGAGTTGGTTCTTCTAGTTGGGAGTATCCGACTTCATATTTCTCAAAGCAAAATCACAAGTAAGGATGGTAACAAGTCATGGTAGGATAGACTGGTCATCAGATTCTACAGTATTATCCAAAGTCAAACCCTCCGCGTGGTGTCATAAGCTTTCTCAAGATAAAAAAATGACAATCACTCTTGAGGAAGGCTTTTCTGACTGACGTTTCATATAGAATCAGGTAGTCTACAGTGGATCACTATCTCCAGAAACCACACTAAGTGGGTGAGAGGAGGCTGTTTGATTCAAGAAATCTAACAAGACAATAATTAACCATTTTCTTCAAAACTTTCAGAGACAGCTAATAAAAATAATAACTCTAAAATTAGAATGTATCTTAGGATCATTCCCAGGCTTAGAAAAATGGATGATATTAGCCCTATGCCATGCATCTGTAAAATGCTCCTTCTGCCAAACCAGATTAAAAACAACCAGAAGAAAAGCAAAAGAGCAGAAGAGCGATAGCACAGCATCTCATAATCAATGTCATTTGCTCAAACAAATGTATTACTAGACCAATTTAAAGCAATTATACGTTTCACCAGAAATAAATGGTCGATTATAATCATAGAGACTATCAGCTTCAAAAGAAGGTGGGACACTTTCAGTCCTTGGTTTGATAACCAAGAAGGCAGGAGAAGAAGTGGATGTGCTGGAATGGTGAGAAAAGCACCTCAAAAGAGTATTAGTGATACCCTATAAATAATAAATCTTTTGGCTATGAGAATGCAAGATAGAAAGAGGTTTGGTGGGTTATATTCCCATTTACCTTTTGAAACCTGTTCCAAACGATCTTGAAACTGGTGGTGGAAGAAATACTACGAGTGAATGTAACCCAATATTCCCTCTGGCCTAAATTCCTGACTTGTTGGGCATGGGCACGAATCTACTGAATGTCCAATGTGGCTGGAAAGAGTGGGATATGTGCAGAAAACATTACAGGCACGTTTCTGAGCCTTCTGTGCCTGTTTGCAGTCAAGTTCACCACGGACGAGGATGTGTGACAAACGTGTCGAAGTTTAAGGAATCATATGAACAGCTGCCTGGACAATGCAATCATTTACTGTATCCATGTAGTCGTTATTTGAAGGTGGACTAACGACAGCAGGACAAAGCTCAGGGAGAATGATTAGGGAGGGTCAAATAACTCCAGCTTCCATCAAGGCACACAATTTGGTTGGCATCAATCATGGCCAATTTTCCTCAGAATGATTAGATAATGATCATTGCATCGGGGATCACTGTTCACTTTTCAAGAAAAATAAGGAAGAAGAGAAGGGGAACAAATAAATAGATGTACTGCAATAAAATACTAACTTGAAAAATGAAAATCAGTATGTGATCCAGTATTGAAGAGAAAGAGAAAGGTTGTGAGTTGACAGCATATACTCTACAGATTGACATCTCCCAAAAATATCATCACCACCCCAGAAGGGATTTATCCATTAAAGTTTTCCAAGATAAAAAAGAGAGATAGCAATTATTCAATAAGATCAACAAGTATTGTCTGATCGAAATACTCTTTTGGTGATAGGTAAAAATAACAAATTGTGACAGTAAGACCAATGGAGACAAATATGGCAACAGCCTTAGGTGGTGTATTGAGTACTACATGTTTCTCAACCAACAATTAAATACAACAATGTACCCATCCATCACTGAATCTGTCTTTTCTGTACAGGGAAAACTGCCAAAGGGTGACAGTATCACCAGTTTTTAGGAATATATATCCTGTAAGGAAAGACATACGGCAAAGTATAAATCTAAATCAGAGCATAAACCTCAAAAGTTTCATTGTATCAGAGTGGTCCTTTTTACCTAGAAGTTGTTGGAGATGTAGGTGAAGAATTGAAGAGTCTTTGTTTTTGGATTTACAATTGCCCTGTTTTCTTTATTTATAAGAAGTCTATCAACCTCCATGGATCCTGCTCTAGATTAACAGGGCAGACCCTCATCTAATGATTGTGATTCTACTGAACAGGGACATGAATGAATAACAGTCCTGCAACTCAGGGCTGATAGATCCTGTTGTTCACTGATGTCAGGGGTAATAATGAACTTGCGTTCTTTCTTATCCATGAAAGGCGTGATGTTTCGACGAACAGGTCCCAAAGATTTTAATGTCTTAACTTTGGAAAGCTGGCAAGCATCTCTAAAACCCCTTTTGAATAAAAAAGAAGGCATCCGTAAAGAATGAACGATCATAAGTTGGGGTACAGCTATAGCTGTTGATTTGCAGCAGAGAGTCATCCACATGAGGTATTTTTCCCATTATTTTGTTTAACAACCAGACGTAAAAATGATGCTGGATTTAAATGAACATTTGAAAAAGAGGTTTCTTTGGCTGTGTAGGTTAGAAACGGAAATTCTTTTTCAAGTTTCCAAAAAGTAAAATATTTGTATAGCTCAATTTACCTCTTCAGTACTTACCAATGTAATATTAGTAGGCCTTAAGAGTTTAGCTTGCAGGGTAGCGCCGTAAGTAATTTCATCTAAGGTCGTGATTAGAGCTTTATATTATATTGCTCTTATCTATATCCGAAACGACTTTGTTAAGTTCTCCTATATGCGTTAAACCACAATAACTTTCCTCTCTACCAAACCAATACTAATTGAGAAACTAAACTCCAGTAAAGCGTTAACATATTTATAAAAAATGTTCACGTACACAATATACGGCAGTTCGAGGCTTCATAAGAGCTTTAATTAAGTTAATGGTTACTTAAAGTCTAAACTACACGTTACTTGTAGTTTTATGTTATGTTCTAATGTTTGGTGTAAAATATCGTTGAAATGACACTTAGCGCCATATCCCAATGTTGGTATTCTTACGAGATTAATCTTTGTATTTAAGGCTGTGAAATATTAGAACAGGTTATGTAAAGTTATTAGATATAATGAATATTTATCATTTTTTAATCAGTAGCGCGTAATTCGTTGTATATGAGTGACTTCTGCTTGTGATTTAGCCGACTCAATAATTTTATTAATTTACTCAGGTTACTGTGAGTGTCAATTCAAACATGTTAAACCGTTTCTCGTGCAGGTTATGACTACCCCTTCTTACACTATATTCACGACTAAGCCAAAGGTGGCGAGGCAGATGTTTCGATAAATCTACAAATTTATGTATCTATAAAGCCGTGTGTTTATGTAGTTATTTGTAAAACCCTTCTCTTTCCTTTAAAACATACCATGACATTCTGAACCATCTGAGCAAGGGTCATTTGATATAATGAGAGTTCCCAAGAACCCAGAAATTGACCTTTGAAAAGGAACTCGTCGATTTCGCAAAAATTTCCGCACATGGATATGTATTTATTCGTATAGGGGTCAAGTACTAATACGTTATGTGAAATATGCATCGTAGGTGGTCTCTTGTTAATTTGCATTAACATAGCCTGGTAGATATATTTTATTAACATGAATCATGAAACGGGATCTGTTAGTCTTTTTGATAGATAGATGGACCTGACATATATTCGTCCAATTAACTGTGTAACAAAGTTAAATACAAAATTTGCTGCCTGACAAGCTGTAACAGTTGAAATTTAGTATTTAGCAGTGAGATTTATTTATGCTCAGAAAACGGTGCTGACGAAATATAATAAATTGTCCTCGGACAACAGGAAATATCTTATTAATAGCAATTGATACAGTAATGGAAAACTTAGGGGTAGTACAACATTAACCCTAAGACTTACATACAGATATCAGACAAATAGAGCTGAAGTTGAATAAGAATACTAATCTTAAAAATGTATAATGTTATCCACAGTCCTACTATACAACAATCTGTTTTAGCGATATTTTGCTGACAGTGCCTCCCCCATAACACTCTTAGAACTTTCTGGCACAAACACACATAATAAAACAGTCGAAATTTACTGTTATAGGTTAAATATACAAAAGTAGCAGTAATATGAGGTAAAAAGGATCAAATTAAATATAATCTGCATGTTCAACAGTGAGGAAAGCCAACAAAACTGTATACCAACTCTACTAATTTAGCAGTGACGTTAGTTAACGTTATAAATAGAATCAACAAGTTCAGCAGATCTTTGAGCTGACAATCACTTTTTGAGAAATCTACAAATTCACCAGAAATGCAGACTAGGGTTAATTCTAGTGCTTTATGTTTTTTCTTTTGATGTGATCCAAAACATTTATTTTGTAAGAGTTTGAATACTTACTAATATTCTGCCAGAATCATATTTTTATAGGTTTTTAAATGCTAGATGCCTCTAAAATTGTTATATAGTGAACGATTTTTATTCTTTCTTGATAAATATAAGAACATAAATTTTTTTAAAGGTTATCAATGTTTTCCGTTTTATTTATTTTGCTTCACAGAAGTTCAAGGAACAATCCATAGATGGTGCTAGTTTATCACTGTTGACTGAAGAACATTTGACCACTTTCTTAGGGATGAAGCTGGGTCCAGCGTTAAAACTCCGAGCCAGCTTGGCCAGACGTATTGGTCATTGCACCGTTTGCATGCACTGTATACACTGCCATTCTGCTGACCAGTACGACAAGTTCAGCGAAACGTAACACTGACAACTTGTAGTTGATCATCACATTTTGAAAAATTTCCCTCTGCCATTGAAAATTAATAACGTACAAGCACCTAGAGTGAAGAAAGTTTTGAGAAACAAACCTCCATCCTTAAACACATCAGACAGTAATTGCATGATAATTTATAATAAGTGACCAACAAGATAAACGAAATTTTGTTTCTTGTAAACTATAAAATGATCATATATAAACGATTATGTGACAAAATTACAACAAAGTGATCTACAGTACAAGCATGTAGAGGATATTATCATGTTTCTCACTACCAGTTTCTTTCAACAGAACTGTAGCAACTACGTGTTCTCAACTTATCCTTAACTAGGACATAGGATGCGCAACGTACTTCATGTTCCTTCACGTTTCTCATATGTATTTGTAATTCGTCAGTGTCGTTGCAAACAAATATTTGAATAATCTTGAACTTCGCAATATCTTAAAACTAATTTCTGGTTGTCCTATTTTATTTCAAATGAATAATTCATCACTACTCACTGGCATGACATAAATACATCTGTAAGATTGTTGCGATTTGGTCATGCTTGTTATAAAATTGTTGCGATTTGGTCATGCTTGTTATAAAATTGTTGCGATTTGGTCATGCTTGTTATAAAATTGTTGCGATTTGGCCATGCTTGTTATAAGATTGTTGCGATTTGGTCATGCTTGTTATAAAATTGTTGCGATTTGGTCATGCTTGTTATAAAATTGTTGCGATTTGGCCATGCTTGTTATAAGATTGTTGCGATTTGGTCATGATAGTTATAAGATTGTTGCGAATGAGCCATGTTTACAAATATATATGAAAGCTTCTCAATGTGGCATTTTCTTGTACTTCGAAAACACCCATTTCAATTTTAAATAGAAAACACGATGAATCCCATGAGATTTTTAAAAACATTTAAATAATTGTATTTTTATAATTATTTAAATGTTTTCAAAAATCTCATAGAGTTTATCGTGTGCCTTACTACTAGATGTCATATGGCTAATAACAATAATCATAAAAGAGCTTTGAATTTTGGAATCAGCCTGATTATGTACTATTACGTGATATCTGAAATATAGATTTTCCTAGCACTCAAATTTTAAGATCATTTTAATGAACCCACCTTTTCCAAATAATCTTTTTTATTATTTAGATCAAGGAATATGAAGTGCTGTCGGATTATAGTATTTAAGTGAAAAGTATTTTCACAACTATTTCCGTCAGAAGATCCTAAAATAATAGAACAAAAATGACTCCTAAAGATTGTAATTTAAGTTCTACAAATTGTGTGATTTGTTATACTAGACGCAGCTGCCGTAAATACCATCCGTTTGTAAACTGTACAACTGTTGAATATCCAGAAGTTCATAAAAAGGGTTTTCAGTTAAAACACAATCTTGTCACATGCTAAAAGTTTTTTATAGACTCTCATTTTGTAATTTTCTTGCACTTTCTTAACAACAGAAAAATAGAGAAACAGTTAATAACTAACTTTTCTGTGTTATCTACATCTAGGATAATTAATTTCAAATGACTGAATGCAGGAAAACATAAACTAAATGTATTGAAAGAAAATTAAATGTTACTTAATATTACTGAATTAATGTGTAAAGACTAATATATTATGAGTTGCTTACGTGTGTCTGAAGTTCGTGCAAAAATTCGTTTAGAAAGTGTACATAATGTATATTGTATATCTATGTACAAAAAGATAACTGTTTATTGAAAAATAAAATATTATATCACCTTTAAATTGTGCAACTTCTTGATGATTTGCTACTAGTTTGTTTTGCATTCTTAAACAGTGGTACTAACAGTCATGTAAAAGTTCATGAAGAACCAGAATCAAACTGAAAATAGCAGAATAACGTCTTATTTCGCCACATTGTGCCATCAGTATTAAATACAACAATTTTCACAGTACCAAGTGCATTTATATTATTATACTGAGCTTTCTGTATATTTAAAAAGTCATCCTAGAACTAGATATTAAAGACAAAAGCTAAAGTGCAGATACCAAGTCATCTGGAAGAAATGCATTTATTTTGACCCTTTGTTTATCAATATGAGCACATTATTTATCCTTTAATTTTGTATTCGGACACTTGCTTTTTTATCATGTGCAGATTTGGGTCTGTTCTTTTGTAATAATCTATTAAATATCAAACATTAGTTTATTATTTCCTCACATCACATATATATTACATAAAACCGTCAAGAAAGGTGTACATAAACTATGTTGACTGTGTTAGTCTATTGGGTAATAAGAAGTTTAAGCATTGTGATATTCCTTTAATTCCTATGACATCTTTATTCCAACTACAACATAAGGTTAGCTCTATTTAATCAACTTTTCTTTTTGCGATTCTTCTCATTTTACAAATAACAAATGTGTGTGACAAAAAGTAGGAATAAGTATGAAATTTTGTTGTTGCTACATGTTAGTTTTGGGAGGATTTCTTTCCCTCTCTTTCGTTTTTCTACTTTTTATAAGAACTTTGTTAAGAAATGTAAATTAACATATGCATATTATGTTAAAACTAGCAGGGATCCGCAAAACATTTGCTGTTAAATTAGAATATTTATTGCAACAGTACTTATTTAAACAAATAATTTCTTGAATAATACAAAATAATTTTAATCGCAGACAGCGAAGTCTGTAAGTCCACTTGTCTTAGGCCTAACATTAGTTAAGTTTTTATTAAATACGGCCTTTATACGATCGTAGTTAACATGGAACACTGGAACCGAAAGTAAATATGCAATCCCCGTGGGCATAACCTAATTAATTAGATATTCATATTAACTAATTAAATTTGTATATCATTTACACGTTAATCATCCAATTAATTAATTAACCTTTAATTAATAAAGCAATAATTATATATTAATTCTTAATTTTCATAGTATGTAATGAAAGATAATAACAGGAAGTGACACCAATTATTGACAGTAATTGGAGATAATTACAGTTTAAAATGCTAGTTATTGATATTAATTATAGGCTCACATGGATCAATCATATCTAATTATAACATGTAGTGACAGATTCTCATTATGTGAAGCCAACTACTGACAATGATTATGGTTCGAGTTCTGCTTAAATCAGTCATATTTAATTATAGTATGTAATAACAGATTCTCATGACTTGATGACAATTATTGACAATAATTATAGTTTAAAAATGATGTGGTCATAAAGCATAATTATAGTGTAAAGAAAAAACAGCTGTATATGTAAGGAAATAATGGATGGTAATTATAGGCATATATAATTATAGAGTATAGAAACAACAGTTGTGTTAAGAATCTCAAATTGACATTCCCTGTATATGGTGACCCTTTTCTGTGCATGTCACAGGATTTTACTTAGCTTCATTTAAAATTTAATTAAGCTATTTTATGATCAATATCTGTCAATGAAATCCACATTAAAATTTATATTATAGTTCAAAGTTTTATATTATCTAAGTTTTAATTCCTTTATTTCAAAAGAAACCTTAACAATTCTTAAAGTTTTATTTTATTCTCTCCTGATCCGCGAGTTTAAAAAATGTTAAACTTGTATCTTTTTAGTTTGAAAATTTCTTGACTCATGGTATTCTTCCATATATAGAAATAATCTAGGTTAATTGTTAGGGAAGGAGAAATAAATTTCTCTGAACTCTTGACAGGTGCTAAGCTCACTTTCTACATATAGATTTGCGATTTTTCAGCCAATTGTACTTATTTGAGCTAGATGTTTATTACCAACAGAAAGGGCGCTTTTTGAAGTACGTTCTCTTAACTGTTATTTTAAAATTGGCACAAAGAATTATATAGAAAATTAATCAGATCACTCTTAGCATTATTGTTGCTTTGTCCCTGCCACTTTAGCATTATTTCTCACCTAGAAATATGAAACATCTGTCCAATGGTAGTGAAACTGGGGTAAGTGTTTTTCTAATAGTTTTAACAAATAATTATCATAAGTTTGAGGTATTCAATTCAGTAATTCTATACTTCTTTTCTTTTCTTATCTATCAAGGGATAAAAACCCGAAATTATTGTTAATGGTAAAAAGTAATGGTTATGGCGATCAAAAGCCATAAAATTAGAGTTATTGACAGCTTTAGTTGCATTCCTATGGTTTAGCTAAGTTACAGAAAAGATATTTTCTCATCTGTCACAAAGTTAAACCAAAAGTTTCGAGGCCCTATACCCGACATGACTCGTAAGAGAGAAATTTCTGAACTGGCACTGACAGCACTGAGAAGAAGGGCATATCCCTGACTTTCAAGATGAGATGTAACGGCAAGATTTATCTTCTCTTGAAATATATGTTATTAAAAGTTATTATACCTAAAGTTGTATGTTCCTAAAAATAAGATATATAACCATAGAATTTTGTTTATATGACAAGATAATGCAAAAATTATATAGTTTCTTATTTTATCTCATTAGGTATTTTCAATCTGATGTTTACATACTCCATCAGTCCTGTTCACAGTTCATAGCTGATGATAGACCCTGCAGTACAGCCCCTTTCAGTTACACGACTATTACTTCTGTATGTATGACTATATATAGCAGCAAATTTATACAACCAAAGTCTATGACTCTTGTACCTAACCATGGACACAATACATTTACAACAATAGTCAGGTACGTATACAGTGTTTAGACTACATACAGCAGTCAGAATGTGTTAATATTCAACATGCACTTAATAGTGGTGAGGTTAAAATCTTAAATTACAGTGTTGATGGCTTCTGTAAGGAGCATAACACAGTATATTCGTTTTACTGGTGTTTCTATCATGGGTGTGATATTTGTTATGATCCTGATACAATGAACGTTGTTCTAAAATAGACCAATGAGATCTATTAGAAAACGTATATTGGACAGGCATCAAAAGTAGAAACTCTGAGGTATAAGATCGTATAAATATGGGAACATTACTTAAGAAGATGAAAACTACCGATCCAGTGTTAAACAGTTTTCTTAACGATCACACAATAGTTTCACATCTGGATGTACGAGACACTTTCTATGGAGAGAGAGTCATTGCTATGAACCTTTTGTATGATGTGAAGAAGGGGAAAGATCAATTACATTGACTTTTTCATCTCTATATCCATAAATGATGAAACTATATCATCCTGTTTTACCTCCAAGAAGTAATGGTAAATTAATTGTAACACATGCATCAATTTAAAAATACCACCCCCACGTAATCACTCTGAGGAGGAGAGACCTTTTATTGGCATATATGTTATCAAAGAGAGAGGGAAAAAAGCAGTGGAGTGTGGTTATAAGATAATACAAATTTATGATATCTAACATTTTTAAATAATATGTTGATATATTTTTGAAAATAAAATAGGAATGTTCAGGATGATCCTTTCACTGTGTAACATCAAAGGCAAAACGTGGATATATTGGACAGTATGCTGAAAAGGAAGGTGTGCAACTAACCCCTGAAAACATAAAGTTTAATCCAGGCAGAAGGTCAATTGCAAATCTTTGTCTAACTCTTTCTGGGGACATTGAAGTATGCCCGAGGATAAATCACAACTGATTTATGTAGCATCT